GCCGGTCCCATAGGTGTTCGTGGATCAGTTTCCCCGACATCTTTGGCGCGCCAGGTAGGGGGCGTCGAGGTTGTGTGAACCTGATCCGGCGTTCACACGAGCTAGATCTTCATCTTCTTCATCGACATGCCACCGAAGAAGAAGACTTCGGCGGCAGCTGTTCCGTCCTCGTCGATCCCACCACCACCGGAGCAAACGGGTGGTGGGGTAGACGTCGGAGGAAGAATGGACATCGACGAGGAAACCCACGGTGCTGCCAGGTCCAAGGACAAGGCTGCACAGACCTCGGCGTCCGTACATGTACCGCACCCATCTCAGGAGGCGCAGGACCGACAGCGTCATGGTATTCGCAGTGTCATACGTTTGTTGGACCAAGATCGAGCTGGAGGATCTCGGGGTGCTCAAGATCAGCGTGCACGCCAACATGCTAGCACGAGCGAGACACGGTCGCCTGGACGGGATACTGCTCCTTCTAACATAGTTAGAAGTCCGAGCATATCCCGCTCTTCGCACCGTTCGCCACTACCGCCCACCACTCCAGCAGAAGCTTTGGCGTGAGCTCAACTGCTCCTGGATTACCCTCCAACGGTAGACAAGATCAATGAATGGAGGTCCACCATTCAGAGTCTCATCGGCTTCGCCAACGGCGACACTCCGCGGCAGCTGAGTACATCGCTGCCGCGGCAGGACTGCCGGGCACGAGCCGGTGGCGACGAAATTGGTGGAGGTGCAACCACCATGCACTCTCCACCCCGAAGGCCAAGATCGTCGACTCGTCGGATCCACCTCGACAGCGACTCCACCGCGTCATCAGATCCACGAGCTCGTCGTGATCAGCGCCAAGTTCTTCGCGAGCGACAGCAAGAAGACGCTCGAACTCGCATCGAGCGCCGAAGAGAAGCGCGGCGTCAACCGGACCAGCACGCTGGGCCCTCTGTCGACATGCATGCACCGGGGGAGCCAGGCGACATGCCGTACACGGTAGGTTGCCTTGCGTTCACTCATGAGTTGCGGCAAGTCCAGTGGCCCAGCACGAAGAATTTCAAGCCAGACGTGCCAGAGAAGTACGACGGCAAGTCGCATCCGTCGGAGTTCCTCAGCATCTACACCATCGCGGTGCAAGCTGCTGGGGGGCGGGACGACAAGATCCTTGCCAACTACTTCCCGCTGGTACTCAAGCCCAATGTCAGATCCTGGCTCATGCACTTGCCGAACAACTCCATATCCTTCTGGGCAGACCTATGCCATCAGTTTGTCGGCGCTTTTACAGGCAGCCATAAGCCTCCTGGCCAAGAAAGCGACCTTCATCTGCTCGCCCAGAAGGAAGGAGAGCCCCTGCGCAAGTACATTCAGAGATTCAGCCGCGTACAGCACAACATCCCAGATGTCCACCCTGCCGCAGTAATCAGCGCGTTCCATCAGAACGTGCGGAACCGCAGGATGCGGGAGGAAATGGCGATGTGCAAGATCAGAGACGTCAGTGAGCTATATGCCCTGGCCGACAAGTGTGCACGAGCTGAGGAAGGGAGGAAACTCCCCGGGGAGAATACAGAAGCAGGAGGATCTGATAGCGAAGGGACTGCCCCGGCAAAGAAAAACCGGCGGCGGAACAACAGGAAGAAGAAAGGCAAAGATGTGCTAGTCGTTGAGCAGTCCGGCAACGGAGGTAGCGCCAAGAAAGCCAAAGCTGGTAGCTCCGGCGGCAACAACTACCAGGTTGTGGCGGTCGCCGACAAGCAGGACGGCACCAACAAGCAGTACTGCAAGATCCACGGCACCAAGGGCCATGACCTCCAGAGCTGCAAGAAGGTCGAGCAGCAAAAGGCTGAATACGAGCGACGCGACAAGGAGAAGGCCCAGGAAGGTGCTGGAGGAGCTGGCAAGAAACGCCCCGGCCGAGGAGGACGTCGCGGCAAGGCCAAGCAGCGGCAAGGAGACCGACCTCCCCGCGGCCGCGACAAGGATGAAGATGACGACGAGGATGAAGATATGGATGATGACGAGACCGATGAGCAGGAGTTCCAGAAAGCCAGGGAGGTCCTGTGCGTTGACGGCGGTGCTTCTCTGCATACTTCACACCGCCAGCTCAAGCAGTGGGTGTGGGAAGTTAATGCGGCAGAACCACCCGTCGAGTCACGCAGGCCTCTGAAATGGTCCAGCACGCCTATCATCTTTGATATTGAGGACCACCCTGATCGCATAACTGCGGTCGGGTGCTTGCCGATGTTGGTTTCACCAACTATCCGCAACCTTAAGGTCACTAAGATGCTAGTTGACGGCGGGGCCGGCTTGAACCTGATCTCCTCCGCGGTACTCCAGAAACTCCAGATCCCTGATGGCGAGCTCGAAGAGACCGGCACATTCCAAGGAATCAATCCGGGAAGGAGCAAGCCGAAGGAAAAGATCACGTTGCCAGTGACATTTGGCAGCGAGTTGAACTTCAGGACTGAGAGGGTCACTTTTGACGTTGCTGACTTTCCATTGCCTTACAATGGAATACTCGGCTGTCCAGCACTTGCCAAATTCATGGCAGCCTCTCACTATGCATACAACGTGCTGAAGATGCCAGGCCCGATAAGCGTCATCTCTGTCCCTGGCGACAAGAAGGATGCTCTTATCTGCGCCGACAAGATCTATCGGGAAGCAGCAGCCGCAGCGGATCGCAAGCCACTTGCCGTTGAAGCTCCCGGGGCGAAGAAGAGGACCAAGTCCGGCAAGAGTTCTGATGCCCACTCCGGCAAGCGCACCTCTTCGGAGTGCTGCGCTACCGTCGAGGACGCACCATCGAGCTCCACCGGCAAGTGTAAGAAGACAATGGCAGCTCCACCAGAGACCAAGAAGGTGTCCGCCAAGGAGGATGGCGCTGGTGGTACCTTCACCATCAGTGCCACTCTCGACCCTAAATAGGAAAGCGCGCTCGTTGCTTTCCTGCGGGCGAACGTTGACGTGTTTGCGTGGCAACCGTCTGACATCCCCGGTGTTCCCAGGAAAGTAATCGAGCACCATCTTGCCGTCTGTCCTCATGCGCGGCCCGTCAAGCAGAAAGTCAGGAAACAGGCAGTGGAGCGCCAAGAATTCATCGCAGAAGAAATCAAGAAATTGGAAGCAGCAGGCCTTGTCAGAGGAGTGCTCCATCCTACGTGGTTGGCCAATCCTGTAGTCGTGCGCAAGGCAAACGGGAAATGGAGGCTTTGTATCGACTTTACCGATGTCAATAAAGCCTGTC